TCACGGCCTACTATCGTTTCACTACTGCGCGAGCTCCGATTCATAAAAATTTGTCCATAGTGTTCGAGATTCAATGTGATTTTCGAAAAGGTTGTATCCGATCACCTGTTCTGTTCAAATACGCCATGAACTGGATTCTCGAAACGGCCCAAACCGATTTGAAGGTGAACATCGACTGACTGACCTCGACTATGCTGAGGATATCGTCTTTTTAGTCTCAATATAAGTTGAGCTTAGTCTGTAGTGACGCACCAGTCACTAGTCCAGTCCATGAACGTCAGGAAAGCTAAGGTCTTTTTCGAACTGCATCCCTGACAACAAGAAAATACTCCTTTGAATTAATAACTGTCCATATTAAGAAGTGCGCCTTTTCAAATGCCTCGGAGCGAGATTGCTGCCTAATAGAGAGAGTAAGGATGACGTCATCTCCCGAATCGACACCACTTAGAGTTCTGTTAATCCCCTGAAAGTGTTCATTGACCCGACACTACATCTTCATCGCCATTAATGTCCGCGTGCATCATGCATACGCCTGGTCTGTCCGTTGCGTTTTTGAAATGTGGGCTCTGCGCGGGTATGACGAAGAAAAACTGAGGGCATTTGCCCATCACTGTTCGAGGATCATCTTTTGAATGAAGTGCACTGACTTGGTCTTAAACGAGACGTTTCGTACTCACTGAGACAACATCCCATGGATATTTCAGGACATCCAAGAAACATAACTGCGTGGTTTGGGCACGTTTTTGTCGTCAGCCTCATGAGCTTGACTTGACACAGTTTGTCAAGACACGTAAATGGTTTTTAGACCTTTGGTATTCGGTCTCCGTCACTGGAGACGAAAATGGTTGGGCTGTCGGATCCACCGTCGCATATATTCGCCCGTGGAGGGGTATAATACGTGAAATGTTCGAGGCCTGCTGGATAAGGAAAGCTCACCATCATACCAAATTGGACTATGAATAAATAGCAACTAGTAGTGTGGGGGTGGACCAGAAGTCGTTAGCGACTATCAATGCGGTCCGAGCCCTGCGCGTTAAAATCCGAAGGGTCGACATAATGGGCAGAAAAGAGGACTATAGAGCAACACAATCGTGAGAAGAGTGAATGCCTACCAACTGGTTAGCCAAAAGTCTTGCGGAACTACCGAAGATTGACGCGGGTTTAAGCCGCCATTCGATATAAGGTAACTTCCTTTGTAAAATCAGGGGACGCTTAAGTCAATAAGCTGCTAGATGCGCACAGTTTACCTAACTCTGGTGATATAGCAGGAGACACGGTAAAAGACGCGACCCGGAGATTGAGTACAAGCTTTTCATCCTTAATAATGGACAGCCGGGTTCGTTACCTGGAAAACTATTTAACGGATGCACCGCTCCCAATGAAGGCCGCCTTATTATTGTCAAACGACTTTTGGACAAAATATCATCAAGGTCATCAGCATAGTCCCTCGAACAAAACTACATAAGGCACGGTCACTGAATTTTCATCACTTTAATTAGCTTGTTTGTGGCTAGAAAAAGCAGCATAAACAATAAACATTATGAAGATTTTTGAATTGTCATCCTATGAGAGGGCAACATTGGAGAATATTGTGGAGACGAAAGCACATGGCAAACCGCTTTAACATGACAAGTTCCCTTTGTTTCGAATAGATTTAAAGGCGCGTCGAGAATATAGCCAAAATACAGACAAACATTTCTCAATCGTACGGAGAGGTATCAGGTTGTCAGATCCAAAAATGAAGGTTCGTATAATTGTCTAATATGAACGAACAAGGATGTCAGAAAAGAGCCTAACACTCTCCGTGGAGAGGAAGTCACCTTATGCCGTCTTCCGAACAATAGGGACACTTAAATTGAACTGGATTGCGGAGAATACGCAGCAGTCGTTTCAGATGAGAATTTCACGAAAGGTCAAAAAACAGTACCTTTCCAGTCCTTACTTTAGAGGACGGACACCAACTTGCCAAAAGAAATAAACTGGAGAAGAGCGGCAATAAACGTGAAAGAGGTCGATTCTGAAGCTTATATATTACGTTATGAGTCAATAATCTATAGGGAGAACTACCCTCTCAGAAACATCGTGGATTTCATAGGTTGGCTGAACTGACATTTATTCTTTTAATAAGCGAAGATTCATCATCTAAATTCAGCTTTTTAGTTTGCTAGTCGAAACCAGTATCCCACACATCCCCGGGTTGATATTAAGCGCAATCTTTATTAATGGAAGCATTTTCTTCCCTGTTTCAGTTAGCAACACTAAATCATCCTGTTAGTTCTCTCTTGGTATTAGGATAGTCATATTCAGTGTCGGTGATCCGGTCGAACGCACCCTCTGCATTTTTGTAAACCTACCTTATTCCAAATGGTCTCGCTTACAATGTGAAAAACCGTCAACTCAGGCATGCACGAAATAAAGCACATTCACCGAAAGATGGCTTACTAAAATCACTTCCTCTCAGAATTTTCCTACCTCCTTTACCGGGATTAGCGCCTGTGAGTCTCCAACATATTTATTGTAATCCCTGTCCTGATAATATATTAACGGCTAATTTTGCCAACAGACGGGAAATCTTGTTGAACAAACTTTCAGAAATTCAGTTCCTTGACACACTTCACGCTGTTCCACAGTCAAAGCGATTTTAGTGCTACTTCAACAGGCGACTCGCCGGCAAAACGCTACTGGAGTAGATATAGTCTGTGAAATATCGGCTAATTAAGGGTAAGATACAAAACTCATTAACTATTACATGATGCAGTTGAAAACTATGTCGTGTCATTTGCCAACTAAGACAACTTTTGTTGCATGAGGGCCTATGGACTCAGGAATCTACGTGACGCTACATAAGCATCAATGATGGGAAGGTGTCGTACGATATGGAGATTAATCGCTATAACCGATATTGAAACGGCTTAGGCGAAACGTACTTCATTAACTGCGACTCCATCAGCCGAAGTTTGATTTGTAATTAATCGATTTCCAATCATTTTCGAAACAATCAACGGAACTTCACTCGGGTCCTCAGTCATATGAATACCACCCTGAAATCCGTCGGCAAAATGGCCAAGTTTACGACCACCAGCTTGGACTTGGGCTTTGATAACGTACAGAGGGGGCTAACGAATGTGAGGTCAAAATCTAAAAACCTTAAACGCAGCAACAATGTTCTCGGAGTCTTCAACCGAGGCAGCTATGCGGAAGTCCTGGACCGCCAGATCATACTCGTTCATAAGGATTTTGCTTTGGTATTCCAGTAGATTAAGTTTCCTAGATAGCTGCAACAGCGCAGGCCTGCGAAGCGCATATTTGCAAAGTGCACCGAACACCATGTTGTGACCTTTAAGGCGTTGAATTTCCGCGCCATGAAGTCACCTTGATCGTAGACACTTTTGTCAATGGTCATGCGTTTGAGATTTTGAGAATTCGAGGCACCTTGGAAGTTTGAACGGCCAATGGCCCTGATTAACAATTTGCCATGGGTATATAACCTTAAATTAATTCTGGTGCAAAAAGTATAAGTATATTAATTGTTCGGCACAAGGCATGCTGTTGTGCATTTCGGAATTCGAAAGATCAGCTAAATTGCGGAGACTGTTTTCCTGAAGTTCGTAGGCTGCTTCCGATTTGGGATCATCAGGTATTATTGGACCGTTACTTTATATATTCCTTATCTTGGTTATAGCAATAAATGTGTAACAGGAGAATGTGCGGATATTGCTGTTGATAGAATGTTTTGGCGAACCAAAACTGTCATCACTCGGTTATTACTCGAAGAGATGATGCTCTCAAAAAACGCTTGTTCTGTTCAATTTTAACGACTCAACATAGCATTTAGAATGTAGTCTTCTGCCCCGTGTTAAACTTGAATGTACAAGTATGGTCTCCATATTCAAATACAGATTATGAGCGCACGAGAGGGCATAGTCTCTCCCTGATTTATGTGCGCTATATGCGTTTACTTCGATCTATGAAATTAGATGGGTCACCTCTAAGTGAAGCGATGATTATTTAAAGATGCCAGCAGGATTATATAAGGTCAGAACGGGTAAACTCGTCAAATTACGATACGTTATAGTTTTCCAGGGCAATATTCAATCGGGGAAATTTATTGTGTGTGCCAGTGTATATTTTAATGTCTTCTCATAAGAATTCATTTGCCAATTTCTTAAAGTATTTCTTAAACTGCGCCTTAGGCGTTCGCCACCACACTATGGGTAGTAGACGCATGCTTCAGGAGTGATGAGATCCGACAGGAGTCCTTCTATCTAGAGCAAGTATTTCAGTTTTGACCTCTTCTTCACCCACTGCTCTTTAACCGCCGAATTATATCCGTTAAGCCCTCTAGATCTTGTGACAGGACATTTAAATGCTACTTTTACCTGAAGTATGGTTGGCAACCACAGAACTTACCCGCCCTTCGCTCCTGATCCACTCACTCATTGTATCAATGTACAGATTTTCATTATTTTACCTCAGTACTTACTTCCTTCTGATAATGCGTCCCACATAAAACTCTAATGTATAAATTATCGGAAATTGGAATAAGAGCTTTTCTTACAGGGTGATTGCAAACGGATTGCATCGGTGGCTCGAAGTCAACCCCTACGTCTGTTCTAATTGGTGTCCCCCATGGCTCCGTCATAGGGCCACTGCTCTTCCTAATATTTATCAACGACCATGCATACAAATCCATAAACCGACTGATAGAGCGCCTGGAAAGGGGCTGATGCACATGAGTTCAGCTGCTTGATCATCATGATCTGTCATATAAGTGCGGTTAAATAAAAATGCTAGGAAGCACCTTTCCCGACAAATAAATAGATTGCTGGTTATCAGTTGCAAGTAGATTTGCTTGATACAGATAACCCATTCTCGTTACTGTACTCGCTTCTGCGATATGCTTAATATTTGCTTTACTGACAGCACTCCTGTGTCCAGAGCGCCATCCACTTTTCCCATACAATATATCCTTCCGCGAATTGAGGCAAATGTTCGCATCCCAGGTACGTGTGTAGATAGAGAAGTAGATTATGATTCCGGTGATCGCAACGCCTTCTACTTCTCTATATCCTTCCTCGTTTAGCTCATTGGGCCTTCCCTTCCTTTCGTTTCGAGGAAGTAAAACTCCTTACTTCCTAATCCGTCACTACGGCGCATTTCATAAACCAATTAGCGGGTGCACACGTACAACATACTCACTATCGACTACCCTCGGGACGGCAGCTTTAGTTTACCATACTT